TTTCATCCAAGAACGAATAAGCACAGTCCAGGCACTCGTACTCCGACAACAATATCAAACCTTACAACAGTCAGAAACTTATCCAGAAACTCTTATGGGTACATAAGTTTTATGATTAAAACTCCTTGCCAAAAATGCAAAATGGGGGAATGTAAGAATAAAATTAGATTAGCCTGTCTTACAAAGATAAAGTCTAACCTTTGCCTCTTTTGTTTCTGTACTAAAGCGGATGCTGCTGAAGTTGTGGAAACCTGGGGTAATTTGTTAACACATTGCAGGAGCCCCGAGCCATTTGCAAACTAGTCTGGCAAGCTAGCCCAGACCTTTGTAGTGTAAAATCCCTCCCTTCTGCTAGCCCCGGAAACCCAGATCAAATGCTCCTGCAAGCCTGACCAAATGGTCATCATAAGATTACCTTGTAACCTCTTATCTTGCTTCCTCCCCTCACCCCACGGACTCATGTCTATATAACCTGAATACTCCTATGTTCGGGGCTTCACTCTTAGCCATGTCTTGTATGACTGGGAGTGGAGTCCTAGCGCGCTAGCAATAAAGCCTCTTGTATTTTACATCAAGAACCGACTTTTGTGGTTGATTGGGGTCGCCATTTCCGTAACACTCCGGTAAAAACCTTTCACTACCAGAGAACTGCAATCTCTACGGTACTTCAGACATGAGGGGGTCAGCACGAGGTCCGAGCTGGGGGGACCGACAGCACGTGCGAGGCCAGGGCACAGGCACGAGACGCGAGGTCTGGCTCTACACCACGTAGCCAGGCCGTGGAGTGCCGCGCCGCGTGGGGAATGCCGGGAGGACGACACCACGGCGGGCTTCACTCACTCGTCTCTCCAGGGCCGCCTTCTGCTCCATGTCCTGCTTCCTCCTCCTCTTCAGCTCCTCGAACTGCTCTTTGGTAGGCAGGGACATCAAACCAAGCAGCTTCTCCTGCAGGCGTCAGAGTTTCACACTTAGTCCCTGGTGGGGAATGAGCCTGAGGCCCTGGGACGGGAGCCTGCTTCCACGAGGCAGCCCCACACCCAAGAGAGTAGCCACCGGCCGCTGGGAAGGAGCGAACCCTTAGGTCGGGCCAGAGCCGGCTTCCCAGCGGGCCTGCCTCCTGCTTAGCTGTGGATGGCCATCGGAAATCCCACTACTCACTGGCTCTCCGTGGCACTTTCTGCTCTCACACACGGTACAACGGATGGTTTACTGCCCCTCCCTCTATAAACGCAGGTGCTACGGGACCAGGAAGGACCGTCTTTGTCACTACGGGACGCCTGGCACTAAGGACTTGCCAGACACACGGCGGGCACTGGAGAGATGACGACTGTGGAGTAGTGACGAATGGGAAGCAGAAGGCTTGAACACTCTGCACACGGTGGTAGGTAACCCGAAGGACTCTGCCGACCAGACCCTCTGTCAGCTGCACTCCATAGGTGCTAACCGTGACCACCTCAGAGGGGGCTTCCACGGTGGCAAGATACAACCCAGAGCTGCCCACCTTGCTCGGTCCACCCCTCAACAATCAGCTGTCCCCTCCCAACTAGTGACCCAGAAAAAGCCCCCGAGGAAGATGCGCTATGAGCCAGGGTATCTGTCAGAGCGAGACTGGAAACAGCTGAAGATGAGTCTGTCCAATGCCCAACAAAAGGGGAAGGATTAAATAAAAGACTGCACAGACAGTGGTTCAAGTCCTGGACCCGGCAGCTAAAAACACAGGCTGGGCGCATGTGCCTGCGTGCCCGCCCAAAATCCTGAGAGGAGAATGGAGGGTAAGGAGCTGCCGAGGGGACATCCCTCCTGGGGGTGATCTCGCACTTTCCCCCTCTCTGTCTCTCTCAAGCAAGCACACGTCCTATAGCAAACTTAAGATAAATAAATAAATAAATAAATACAATTCACTTTTCCCTGAAATCCGGATTTTTCTCAAAATGTAGCAAAAGGCACTTATAACCTGAAGTACGAAGGAATGCATAATAGAAACCTGACAAGCCGCTCGCGTGTGTGCCTCCTGAGAGGCGGAAGGGCAGGACAGACCGAGTGTGACGTCGCGCCCCGCGGGGTGGCCCTACCTGCACGAAGAGCGTGGCTGAGTACCGGATCATCCTCTGCAGCCGCAGAGTGTTTGGATGACACGGAGGGTCCTGGTTCAAGCCCAAGGTTAGGATCTTCTTACTGAATTGGAGCAAACACAGCACGGAGCCCGGGTGGTCAGCCTCAGGAGCGAGGGCGAGCCGGGCTTTCACGCGGGAAGATGTGTGGGCGGGTCAGCGCTGCAGTGTTTCCGTGGGCTGTCCCCAAGGCCCCGGTGCGCCTCGGCACATGACGGACGCCCGGTCACTGAGAGCCTGACCAAGCGGGCAGAGCCGGCTCCACGGGAGCGACGTACGTGGCTGTGCCGGGTCGGGCTCTCAGATGGCCCCGCTTCGTTCAGGGCTCTGCTGTCCCTGTCTTAAACTCTTCCTCATCTCTGCAGAGTGGACCTGCACTTTGATTTTGTTCCAGGCGCCATGAGTTATCAAAAAGGTCCTGCACGTCTGCGAGGGCAAAGACCCCCTCACCCAGTTCTGTGAGTCACCACACTCCCCACACCTCAGGGCTGGCTGAAGCCAACAGCCAGGCCACCGTGGAAGGCAGCTGTGGACTGGAAGACGGGGCCCCGCCGTCCCTC